TTTGAAAAGGCATACACAAGCACCACTTACATTCACACACAAACACATCCAAGCATCCAGTTTCCTTTTTTAGGTAACGGCTGGTTGCAGTGTAGTAAAATATTTCAACTGCAGCTGTGTCAGAAGTTTTTCTACTAATCTCCTGAGTTGAGGATCTTTGAGTGGGGAACTAAATATCTGTGTCTGAGGCCTGTCACACAGCGCTGCATCACAGGATGATCAAAACCCCCTTCGGCAAGCTTTCGCATTGTCTGAGAGAAGGGCCTCTTTTGAGAAACGAGGGATGAGGAGAGATGGGGTTGGTTGGTGGCGGCTGTGGAGGGAGGGCTTGGAGGAAGAGGAGTAAAGAGAGTTGGAAGCAGGGTTAATCCCACACTGTCATTATCCTCACTTCTTAGCCACAGTCTGCGAGCTTCCCCGTAATGAAGGCCATTTCCAAGGATTTGCACCTGGCACAGACGCCAGATTCTGCAGTAATTACCGATACAGAAAGATTCCTCTTACCTTTAGCATTTACTGTGGGTTATAAATAGTAATCCCTCATTGTTCTGCACAACTGTAAACCTGCAGGAAATGCAGCATCTACAGTACTTCAGCTCCTGACTGATAATGATGTTTACTGATACAGAACAACTGCTTCCTCCCCGCCTTTGTGCAGAAATGCTGACAAAAAAAGAGGCTTATTTGTTTCAACTCATTTCATGATCTATTTGTTTAATTGATAATGATTTGCCTGAGGAGCTAAAATAATAATGCAGATACTGTTATCCAATAAATAAAATAAACCTGAGCGAAGACACTCTGCTCTTCTAAGATCTTAGCATGAAAGCTTTTATGCCGCAGCCGACTTTATTTAACACCAAACACATTGACAGGTGGAGCGAAGGGAAAAAGGCTATTCAAAATACAAAGAACAAAACTAAATATATAGTTCATCAGGCAACATTTATGTTATCATGTCAAGGTAGTTTCCCCTGTGTATGGGAACAACTCTGTTTTCTGGAAAAGGTGTAAGAGGAAACTGGCAGAGTTTTCTGCATCTTCACTGTTCCCAGCAGTTGCCTGCATGTGTTCATATGGAAGCCCAGATGAGTCATTATGAAACACTCCTGTTTCCCATGTTGCACCGCTGTTGCTTTCTCATGACTTAACGTCACATTGCATGCCCCGACACGCTGATCGCACCCAAACCTCCCACCCCTTTAAACCCCCTCGCTTCATCTTACAAAAGCTGGAGTTTTTCACATTGTGATGCACAGACTTGTGCATGATGAATGTCACATGAATCATAATATCATAATAAAATAAGTTGTCGTGCTCACTCTTGTCAGCTTTCATGTAACAACAGATCATGTTATTGTAATTACTTTATCCTGGTAAACTACTGATTTAATACTGTAATTTGTATTCCTGTCAACTCCTCCCAGCCAGTAAGACAGTTAGACTGGTTTTCATTCTGTTTTGGGACCAGGTTCTAGCTCTAGGCAACCTTTTCTCACACGGATTCTGATTATTTGCAACTACAAAAAGAAAAAATAAATAAATGGAAAAAAAGCATTTTGGTGGGAAGTTTAATAACACAACATAACATATGTTACATGTTCATATTGAACTTTTCCCTGCGCTTTATTAACTTCATACATCTTCCAGCACTGGTACAATTCTCAATATTGCTATTTTATTGAAGAGTCAATGTCAATGAAAGTTGAATGAGTCATCATACCAATTAATGATAACATGACTCACACTCAACTTCTGAAGCTGACATTAGGTAAACAAAGCAGGAAAATATGTTCAGAGCAGCTGCCATGTTTATATAAATATGGAGGTTAATTTAAAGATGGTCCAATTTTATATTCCTGCTACAGAACAGCCAACTTAAATACATCTACAGTATATAATTCCAGCATTGTCACATTATTATTAAACCTTAAAAAATATGAATAAACTTTATTTTAAAGTGTAAATAAATCTAAACTTGATTTCATCTTTACCTGTTGAGAAATCTGTCCGTCAAAGCAGAATAAGATTTCAGTCTCTTTTTACTAATGCTTTTGCAGTGTACAGGGTTTTTCTGACTTTTTTCTGAAACGAGCCAATCCTAGACGCTGCACCTGGGCACTGAAATAGGCTTCACATGAGCGTGCCAACTTTGGCTGTGAAACAAAGAAAAATCCTCTCTTTTTAACCATGTTTCTGTCACAACTGAAAACAAGTTAAATAAAGTAGCCGTCGGTTTGACAAAGTTTTCACATGAGTCTTGAATCATTTCCTTTGCAGATGTTTTTCTGTACGTAGCTTTCATGAGCATCCCTCCCTGCCACTCTCAAGCAGAGATGTGTTATTTGTGTCATTTGCCGTCATCTTGTATTACCACCATTAGTCATTGCAGTAGTGATCCATACAGTGAACCCACTTGAACAAAGTACAGTGTTTAATTAAACAGCTGAAGCTATAGAAGGAGCTCGCTGACCTGCATTGTGCCACGGGTGGGAGTTCAGCAGGTGATGATTTGCAGTGCATATAATTAAACTGTGGAATTAGGCAACAGTGAATAATAGCCATTGAGTGGGAAAATAACTGTTGTTCCTCCTCAGGTGTTTAGACAAACAACCATTATATACTGAATATATTTTCACTTTCACGAATAGAATAGAAAATAACTGAGCATCACAAGAAATTGTAATTTCCGACTCAAGAATATTCATCTTGAGAGTAAAAGCCGAAAATTACCAGTTGTTACCTGAGGGTGTAGCTATGCGTTGTATTGAAAACTAATAACAAGAAAATGGTTTAGTGGGGAAAGAAGATGAAAAACAGTAATATGAAGTGAAAAACGGCCTAATGTTACACCAGTTACAGCGCCTGCCAGAATATCAGTGCCTCTGTGTCCATAAAAAACATAATCACTGATACTTTTCTAAATAGAAATATTTGCATGCACGTCTTTGTTTTCGGTATAATGAAGTGTTAGACGATAATACATTTAGCCTAAAAATGACTGCAGTTCTGTACAGCTGTTTAGAGCCTCCTTTGCAAAACATAGTGGCATTAAATACTTTCCTGTGCCAGTAGGTAAAACATGCATAAAACACACATTTTAAGGGTTTGATTGTATTGGTATCAGAGCCATGACACACACAGTTCATGCATATCATAAATCTACCCATAACAATCTGTTTACCCATTTGGAATCTGTTAAGCCTGCCAGCACCAGATGAAACCTGTTCTTAACGCCATACACAGTTGGCACAAGCGCTTAAGAAAATGTTTTTCAAGCATGCTGATCATGTAGCAACGCTGCAAGATTTGTCTGACTTACATCAGAAGTGAAAGTCAATCGTCTGGGTGAAACGCAACACTTAATTTGCCGTAATTTAAAGTCATTTAAACCTGTTTATAAGGCAAAGCGTTTAATAAGGAGGTTTTTTTTTTTAGCACTTTAAAGATGAAATATGCCGTAGATGTGGCACCATTAATGCACAGGGAAGTTGTTTTTCCATCCTGTTTAGAGCTGAGGGTGCAGGGAAGTCACTGAGGTGGCACTGAGAGTATTTATGGTCTGTGAATATGAGCTATTGTCATGTTAATGTGGTCGGACGCTTCTGATGATCCTCAAAGCGGGATTATATTGTACGAACCAGCTCTACGACTCCGCTGAATTCACACTTCTCCAGGAGACACGAATGCAGCAGAATGTGAGGATTACTAAACTGCATCTAAAAATCAATGTGGGGAAACTCTTGGCCATATCAGCACTTATACTTTGGAGGCTGAATAAGTAAAGCACATGCGTTTGCATTCTCCCTACAGGAACGGATGTATTTAAGAAGTGGAGTTGACCTTTTGCTGTGGCACCAAACCTCCTCCTGCTTAGAGCCCCCCAGTATAGGTAGATCTTTGCTTTAATGTGTGTAATGGCCCTCACCTAAATGTCCTACACAGCAGAAATTTTCACAGATACATCCATATTCAATTTCAAGCCCTAAAGCTTTACATGCTTTAGGCTATGGAACAGGTTGTACTTACACCCAATCACAGCTAACACAGATGCAAATAAAATACCCATGAACATATCATAAAGACACATTTTCTTCCCATCATATTCCCCAATGATGTCTCACTGTTGTCTCATCCCTGCAGGGCAAAAGTAACACAAACTGGCAAGGTATTTGACATTACTGTAGTGATGCACCACTTACTCATCAACTCTGTGAAGTCGCTCAAACTTTCTCACATTCATTGTACATTCAGAGGTGACTCAGAGGAAATTGTGAAAACACCGCAGCGCTTTGATTCAACATCAGTAAATCTGCAGTTTGCGATATTTTAGATCCGCTGTTGCTGTTGAAGGATTCCAAAAAATAATAATAAAATGCTGCTCAACAGGTGGCGAGATTGTGCAACTTGGACTCGGCGACTACCCACAGAAGCACACTGTGGACAAAGGAGGAGAAGAATGCCAGGGATGAATAACTGGTCCGTCTCTTTCATTGATTTCCCCTGAAAGCGAAGAGTGAAGAGAGGACTCCTGGAGGCTCCACTGAAAAGCCTTTTTCAATCCAAATCCTGAGAAGGCGCAAGCTCTCTATGGGCTACAAATTTATATAAAGAGCAACTCAGACTGCTTGATTGGAATATATTGGGCTTTTTGGTAATATACTCTTTAATCAGAGCTATTGCCACAAAAGCAGTTCTGCTGTCTGACACCTAAACACCCCACAGAAATTTCCAAATCTCCACTTTTTTGTTTTTGTTTTGTGTCTGTCTTTCTTTGCTCTCTGGCCAAATTCATACACGTGTATGTGTGTGTGTGGCCATGAAGTGTCATCACCTGCTTCAGTGCCTCCTCTCATATCATCCATAGCAGCCTGTCAAATACCATAACATTACAACAACGTGAGGTCACACAGTGAGGGGTGGTGGGGGGAGTGGTCCTGCAGGCGTGATGTAGGCGTAGGCTTCCGTACAACAGCTGACACTCAAAAAGCGGGAGGACCGTCTGGCAGAGAAACACAGCACAGAGGAGGTGCTCCGGTGAAGTTGTTCCCCGGTCGGAGGCGAGTTCTGTGGCGCACGGGAAAGACCACGGAGACGGTGCACAGCTGGATCACACAGCTGCTGTTTTGGAAGTATCGCTGTTGCGAATATAAAGCCCCCCCCCCACCAAAAAAAAGCTCCACGAAATGAGATCTTTGTCAAGTGGACGATTATAGTGAAAAGGTAAGAGATCTACGGCACTTGGAAAGATTTGTTTGTCGATGCAAGAGGCAGCGAACTACACACAGACTGAGACTGTGTTTAAAAAAAAATAATAGTGGGATAAAAACATGACAATGTCTGCAAAACATGTGGTTGTTGTGTGCCCACCCATATAATCTCTAGTTTCTGTCCGTCTTGTTTTCCAGCCTTTTAATTTGCAGTATTCACCTCACCTGCTTATTTCCCGAAGCCAGTAAATATCTCCGAGCTTATATTCAGTGTTTGGCATTTTCCTCTTGGACATGTATTTATTTATTTATATTTATGTTTACGGTGTTGCCTCACATTTATGAAATCTTTGTCGATTATACAGTAGTAGTTGTAGAGATTCAGAGCAGATCAACTCAGCTGTTTCATAGAGAATACACACCTTTTTCAAGGTGATCTGTGTTTTTATGCCATATGACATATTTGTTTTAACGACGTGAGACACACGCTGTACTGATAACACGTGTTTCCTGTTTAAAGGGTGCATTTGTGGTTTGTCATCTTACAGATATTTATGGTTGGAGTTTAAAGTTTAATCACCTCAACAGTCATACCTATTGTCATTCAGGTGTTGCTCTTTTTTAAAAACTTTTGAGTCATACATTTGATCTGATTAAGCATGTTGGCATGTGGGCTGGATTGTGGACTAGCAGGTATTTTCCGGACGTGTTTTGAGCCAAATATTCACCAGGTATCGTCTAATCACAGCCTTTCTCTCCCCTTGCAGTTACTGCTGCTGGCAGAGAAGAGGCAGTTGTTTTGCTTTTCAATTGGACCATTGTCCTCAGGCATCTGCTCTTTCAATGTGGGATACAGTTTTGGTGCTTTCGCCAGGCTGAAATCCTCCAGGATCAGGACCTCCCTCATGGCAGCGTTGCTCCTCGGGCTGCTGCTTTTTGCAATGCAGTCTCCCCCTCTCCCCTCCAGGCCCGTGGCTGACGGGGGCCCACCTTTACCCCCCACCTCATCGCCCACCGACAACGGGACCACGAGCCACCCAAACGGGACCCTCCAGCAACTTCCTCAAATTATAATCATTGGCGTGAGGAAGGGGGGCACGCGGGCTCTGATAGAGATGCTCAGTCTGCACAGTGCGGTGGCAGCAGCTCAGAACGAGGTGCACTTCTTTGACTGGGAGAGTCACTTTCAGAAGGGCTTGCCTTGGTATCTCAGCCAGATGCCATACGCCTTCCCCGACCAGCTGACGGTAGAGAAGACTCCGGCCTACTTTACCTCCAGCAAAGTCCCCAAACGCATCCATCAGATGAACCCTGACATCAAGCTGCTGCTCATCCTCAGAGACCCCACAGAGCGGGTGCTGTCGGACTACACCCAGGTCTTTTACAACCGCCTCCAGAAGCACAAGCGCTACCAGCCCATTGAGTCCGTGCTGGTGAAGGACGGCGAGATCAACCTGGGATACAAGGCTCTCAATCGCAGCCTGTACTATGTTCACATGCAGAACTGGCTGAAATACTTCCCACTGGAGAGCATTCATGTTGTGGACGGGGACGAGTTGATCAGGGACCCCTTCCCTGAGGTGAAAAAGGTGGAAAGATTCTTAAAGCTGGAACCCCAGATAAATGCTTCTAATTTTTACTTCAATAAAACTAAAGGATTCTACTGTTTAAGAGACCATGGGCGAGAACGGTGTTTACACGATTCAAAAGGCAGGGCTCACCCTCATGTGGCACCTGCCATCCTGCAAAAACTCTACCAGTTCTTTCACGAACCCAACAAGAAGTTCTATGAGCTGGTGGGTCGAACATTCAGCTGGAAATGAACGTTTGAGTCTCAGTAGTTGCTCGGGGATAATCTCTATGAGCTGTCCTGTTTTTCTCACTAACAGCGTAGATGAAGAGACAAAGCTAATGTAAATTTAAACTAAATCTATTTTTGTACTAGTATGTTTGTTAGAGGAGTGTGATGGAGCCAAATATCAGGGCAGACTACAGTTCATGACATGCTCTGTTAGTGCATGTCTTGTTTTCTTTTCATTATCAAACATATGCATTTTACTGTCTCTGACTGCTGTTTAGCTCGTCTGATCAAATCACTCATTATGACATTGATAATGACATTCAGGCTTTAGACTGTGCCAGTTAATGTGTTACATAAAGATAAGTACCACACAGTTTGAAATTGTCATACCTTCCTTAATGTTTTGCTCCATATAATATGACATTATTAACATCTAACTGCATTTAGAGCTCTGGAGGAACCTTTAACTGCTGCTATGATTTTCTCAGTCACTTTCAGGCACAAGCTGTACTGAATATGTATTTGTTCTTTTTGTTACTCAAATGTTTCTTTATGTAAGAGTCAGTTATATAAATGCTCTGTGCACATCATATATTTGCCGATCATTACGGTGTACTGTAAATATTTTTTTCAAAAGGTGAAGAATTAATACCATAATAAAGATGTATTTTATTTTTAGCATGTCTGATGTTTTTGTCTTGGTTTTTCTATTTATATTCATCCGTTATGGATCTGTCTGCTGTGCAGTTTGTCTTCAGATCTTAACAAGCAGAGAAGAAGATGACTCAAACTCATAATGACCACATAGTTAACAGGCTTGAGCTGTACCCATCTCTGTGGATTACTTGATCACACTGTTTTCTGAATACATTTATTGACAGAACGTTTTGAACATTTCAACACATGCTGTCACGTACACATAAAACAATGGTGCAATGTTAACTGTCTCAAATTTCCTGTTTGGTTACCTTCAGTCTGCATAGGCGGAAATAGATCACAATGTGGTACCTATACATATACCTGTTGTGCTGTTGGAAAGCTGCTGTCTGACATCTTTCTGTTTAATTTACATTAATACTTTAATACTTTAATTGTCAGGGTGGGTGAGTCAATTTTAATATCATAAATAAGGATAAGAGAAGGGAGAGTGGGCAGGTAGGGAAACTCAGACTTGAGGACAATCCGAAGCATGAGAAATCAAAAGAAGAAGTTGTTTATGCCCAAGGGTGTGATCTTCTTACTCAGTTTTTTTAGAAAAGCAAGGGATTATTTATTCAAATCTTATTGCTACTTTGAAAACATCAGCAGCACCGTCTCAAAGACATTAAGCTCCAAAAAACCCACAGTAGCTGTTTCATATTTGAATGTGGCCTAGATTTACTCAGTGGGCTTACCGGGACTCTGCAGACAGGATGTTAACCTCCATGCCCCTTAAATGGAGACCAAAGCAATATTTCTTTCTTTCTCTCTCGCTTATTCGTTTTGCCCTCAGAGAGCAGGAATACTATTTCCTCATCTGCCTGCAGTGTAAATGTGTTTTCCATAGTAATAGTGTTGAGCAAGACTATCAACAGCCATCAGCAGAACAGGTTTGGCTGCAGATGTAGTGGGAATGAGGAGTAAAGAGAGTGCGAGGCGGAGTCTGATCTCTGCTGCAAGTTTATCAGACAGCTGCTTGCGTCATTTGGCATGCGTAGCAATAACATCAGACTGGTATGTTCTGCTTTTAGTGTTTCTTTGAAGGTGTAAGGTCTACAGATGGTCCTTCAGACTAGTCACATCTGAAGGAACTTGCAGGAATGCAGTTTTCTTTGCTTGAAATCAAGAATACAGCAGGCAGTGTCAATGTCATCTTCCTCTGGGTCAAACAAGGACTGATGCAATTTCCAGATAAACCTGTTTATTCCATAACACTGCAGATTGCAAAATCTTACTCTCATAATCATACTCAATCAAGACATAATGCCCAAAACTACATACTGATGTGAACCTTTAGTGGTAGAGCTGGAAAGTGACGACATAGATGTAAGTTATTTGTGTAGGTATTTGTACTTTACTTGAGTATTCCCATTTTCTGCTGGTTTATAATTCTACTTCTATATTAAATCAGTGTGTAGTTTGTGGCCCCTTGCCACATTTCTACTGCCTATGAGCGGTTATCAGTTTATTTCTCTTCTAAACTTCTCACATGGTTTCATTTAAATAACTATTAGAGGCCCCTAAAGGTAAATTGTTCAAAATATAACACATTTGTGTAGCAGAACATTCTCTGCTTTCCTCTCCAGTTGATCATCTCATGACCCAACCAGATTTCTCCTGCAACACTTTGGAGTGGACCTGACCCTTTAGTTGGGTACCACTGGACTAAACTACTATGTATAAAGTAGTTAAAATCAGCTCCACCTTGGTCAGCTACTAAAGTAAAATCCCACTCATGCATTATTGAATCGGTATTATCAGTCCAAGTGGGGATTCAAACTGTTACCGGTTTGAAGGTACCGGTGAGAATTAAATACAATCCAGGAAGTCAAGAGTGTGAAACAGATTAATGCTTTTAAAGGCTCATCAGGCATTAAAACTGTGGTTTGTTAAACTCACAGATTAATAGGTTATCACTGCTGTAACTATGTTAAGGTAAATAGTAGAGATATGGCTTTGACATTTTAAAATAATCCACCTGGAATGTGAAATTGCATATTTGATTGGAGCAAGTCTAACTAACAATGTCATTCAATAAAATATCATTCACAGGGGCCATTTCTTTGTAACGAATAGGCTACTTTTACTTTTGATATTTGAAGTGTGTGTAAAATGTAGGAGGCTGCATTAGAAATAGAATATAATGTAAGTATGTTTTTATTAGTGTGAAATCACCTAAATATAAGAATCGTTATGTTTTTGTTACATTAGAAGGAGACGTTTTTATCTACAGAGAGAGAGCGGGTCCTCTTCTACAGAAGGCGCCATGTTGACCCGCCATGTTTCTACAGTAGCCCAGAACGGATAAACGAAACATAGATCAGCTTCGCGAGCTTCATGGTTACCGTAGTTTCTACTTCATGCTTGGAAGATGGTATTCAGTTGGTTGTAATCTGCAACTTCAGCACTAGATGCCACTAAATCCTTCACATCATTTTATTATTAAATATAACACTTCTTTACTTTTACTTGAGCATTTTGAGTGCAACATTCCTTGTAATGGAGTACTTTTACATGAATGCACTGGTACTTTTTTACCTTTTTTTGGTTTACTTTTTAAAATGAAAGTTCCTTGTGGCTGCTTTAAAGAACAATAGGGGAGAAGATGTAGGAAAATAATGTAAACTTTAGCTCGAGCTAGTGCAGGTGCTCCTAGAAGAAGTTTTCTGAATTCTTTTTGTTGAGAATACTTTAAACAAGGACACATCCTGCCCCCTCTCTCAGTATTTCTGTCTTTACCTAGCTGTCTCTCTCTCTGCTCTCCTTACACACTACCCAACATCAGAGTAGCATCTATTAAGAGTTCATGAACGCCCCATTAGTCTAGTCAGCTGTGCAGCCCTCTAAAGTTTTACAGTCACAGATTTCCCTTAACATCACATAATTAATCTCAGCCACATAATTAATTTGCCTCCTCGCCCCACATGCAGTAAGAGCGGTAAACCGGGGCTACAACCAGAATTAATGGCCTTGCCCTCCTCCCGGCGCCCCCCTCCACCTCCCCCTCCCTCCACCTCAGCTGTAACACTATTTTCTGTGGAACTTTCTGGACTAAGTTGAAGCCAGCCTACCACCCCCACTTCTCTCCCTCCAAGCCCACACTAGTTGTTCCTGAAGGGCCCTGTTTCCCTTCAAATCACAATCAGCCAATCTCTGGGTTTTTCAAAGGATGATGTGATCCGATAGAGCACAGCCCCTTCTGCAGTCACCAGGGCTGCAGCTCACTTTAATTGGAATAGATTGTTTGTCCACTCAATGTGTGAAGCCCGGCAGAAATAACACATGCACCGACTCTGCCTCTTTTTTCTATACAAACACAAAACAAGAATGCATGCAACCACACACACACACACACACACACACACACAGTGTCTACTTGTTAACCTAGCTCTGAGTCACTGAGCTAAGCATTAAAATTTCCTAAAGCTATATAGCTGGTGATATTATATAATACCTGATGTTTTACAGGTCATTTAACAACAGTTACCACTGTTTTGAATGTATTTCCAAAATCATAAAGGTCTCTTCTGACTACCTGGATGAAAAAATATTCCCTTCACTGCATGATAGACAATTTTTTATCTGCTTCTCAAGTTGAGTCTGTCCAAACACAGCTGGTAGCTGGAAATAACAGATTGTGTTGTGCAAATACATTTTTTTTATCACCAATAATATGTGTAATGTATCTTTCCAACATCTTATATTTTCATACATACAAACCATTAATGTTTTTCTTATGTTTTACAAAGAGAGCAAGCATATATGACAGGATTAGGAAATAGTAATACAGTTGCAATTTAGGATAATAGGATAAAAATCTGTTTTATCATGCAGCAAACTGAACAGGAACAGAAAAAAGGAAAAGGCTAGACATACATTACATCTTTATTTCAAATTTGTTTGGACGCTTTATTCTAAATTGCTTTTATGGTTAACCATTTTCTTTGTGCGAACATGTTTTCTGTCAAGTATGACTCTTCAGCGTCTTGCTCGGTTTATTACAGGACTACTTACCTTGCACTGTCACTCAAGGTATTATCCACAGCTATAAAAGAGGAAACACTGAAAATAATAGATTACATGATTGCACTGCTTTTGCAGGAAGCTTTTATTCAGTGTTGACATGAACTTCAACCCAAGATAACGCTGCATTCTTATAATGCAGATAACCTTGAAACCATGGTAAATGAAAAATATTGTCAGAAACGTGTACATCTTATTTACAGCCTTGACAAGAATCTTTTATTAAACCACCACAAAGAAAAAAGGGAATTGAATTATTGAATCATTTCATGAAAGTAACCATGCTTCTGGTTTCTACCACAGGCAAATCGACAATGTTTAAATAGAATGAGCAACTATGGTCTTAGCAGCTTTTCACCATTAAGTGGTGTATTCATGAGAACATCTAAATGCTTTTAACTCTGAATAAAGGTGTGTCTGATAATGAGCAGTTGTCCGTAGTCATTTCAACACAAAACTGGTGTTTTATAGATATATATATATATATATATATATATATATATATTATTTTTTTTATTTTTTTTTATTTTTTTGTTCTTGATAGATGTTGAAGAGAGCGTGAGCATTTAACTCACGCACAATACTGTCAAGTATTTCAAGGTAGCTCCTCATTTCATAACATCGTAATCACTTAAATCACCAGGGAACAACTCTTTCGACAGTCAGACCACACAGTTTTTATATACAGTCGTCTTGTTTTCTCGAAGGCATTTCACAAACGCTCTCATCCCAAAAATGTCTACCAAGAAAAGTAGAAAACGGTTGGTAAGTGTGCTTGCTAGCGCAAAAGCAAAATAACAGTTCATCAGTGTACCAGGGAGGGAAACTTTCCGTCGTGCAAAATTCTGCAGATAAAGAGAGGAATACTCGCTATTTTCAATGATTGACCAAATAGCTTCGCCCTGTGAGTCTTGAACTCCAATGACTGCACGGCAGAATATTTGCCTCTTACCTGG